TTTGTGGGTGGTTGGTTGGGTATTGGAGTCTACAGATCACTTTTGTAATATCCCAACACACTGTAGCCGGAGTTTAGACGTGTGTACACTATTTTGAGGTGATGCGGCGTATTGCGGAGTCCTGGCGTGTTTCGGATAATTTTCGTAGTGTTCAGTATGTTGTGGTCTGGTACTGCAAGGTTTACACACGTTTAGCATAGTTTATTGTTTTGATGTGGTATTGTTGAGTGCTAGTCTCTCTCTCTCTCTCTCGGATCCCCCTAAATGCACCTTGTCGTCTCCGTGCACCACCTTGTCTGCAGTTCCCTCTCCTCCCACTTTCTTTGGAGTAGTTCTTCCTCTTCTTGTCTCAATCTCAGCTCCGCGATTGATGTGCCGTCTCCGCTAGTTGCACCTGTAATTGATTTCCCAAGAGACGTGGCGACACGGCACTTAGAAAACAGCATCTACCGTAAAGCTTCCCATTTATCTGAGCTGACCCACACCCAGTCACACCTCTCCTCATTTACCTCCCTCTCTCCCTCCCATAGTGATACTCTACGAGCAAATAGGAAAATGTGAACAATAAATTTCAACCGAGGTTGACACTCAAGAAATAGCTGAAAAATACTCGTAGAGGTATTGTGTACGACACCACCGCCACCAGATGGCAGTACCAACAGCCCTCTTGATTGTAAACAAACACTGGCGCGCGAAAATATGAATAACTTGGTGAATGGGGACGACAGTTGTACATTAATTGTAGTCTCATATGAGAGACGTAGTGAGGGTTTAACAGACCGCAGAAAGTTGGTAGCAGGAGCGGCTGGAGGATTGATAGTTGAGGAGTGTTAACTCCCTGGTGAGGGGCGCAGGACGCCTGCAGCGTCTCCACCACTAGTGTCGCTTGCCATCCCCGTCAGGTGCGGGTAGCATACGTGATGTCATCGCTCACCCCAGACAGAGCGAAATGGAGGACCATTTTTAGTTAGGAACCCTTGAGGTAGAAGCTGTTCTCTCAGGCTGTTGTTAACTCTGATGTGATCTGCATCACTGATTTTATTTTCCTTTCATGTGTCTGTTGTGATACACTGGGAACCGAGAACTTCATTTTCCTACATAAATAAATGTTACATAAACTGATGCAAACCCCGGGAGCCTTGCCAAGAACAACAGCTCCTTACATGCTCCCGCCCTCAGCAGTGCCCACGCCCATTCCCATGCCCACGCCCATCAGTAACTGGCGTGTGTGTGAACTGGGTCGGCGGGGCCCGAGGGACTGCGTGCATGACCCACATCCTCCCTGATGCCTCCTGCCACCAGGATCTTTCACTCCCACTTGATGTCTTCTCCACTTTCTTCTGATAATGTTTATTTATTCCTGAACTGCGCCTCTCTGTTTATTATAATATTTCATCGTGAACAATACATCAGTGGAATGAGGAGTGTGGGTGGATGATGCACGTGAGGTCAGCGACGGCGGCTCCCTGCCAGGGTGGCTGCCGCAGGTACTGAGCCTCGGGGCCTTTACTGCCTGGCCTCCACCTGGCCTCTTACTGATCTGTTGACTCCTGTCCGGGATGCATTATACAGGCTCTTGAAGGAGTATTTATCTGATGACTACACTGGTGAGTCTCTACTTGGCTCCTGGTTAGTTTCAAAGATAAGTCTCATTAGTGTTTTAGTCTCTTGAGTATAGTTGACGGTCCTCACTCCGGAATATAAACAGCTCTTCCCCAAATTTCACTCAATAGAAAAATAGAATGTGTGTCCCATGGGTCAACCATCTCTGGGACGACCAAAACTTTCCTCACCTGTGGTTGTATCAGTCCACAGTTTTCTGATGCACAAAATAAAAAATAACAATCTTAATAAAATTTTCACCGACACATTTTATCTTAGAAATCTGAATCGATTTTCCCATTTGAAAATTTATTACTCTGAATTGTACAAGTCTCGCCGAGCAGGTTGGCTGTGATTGTCATTCAGCGATAAGAGAGAGTGTGAAAATTATTTAGCTGGCTGATCGTTCACCAATTGTGGCTGATGTTTACGACTGGTAATGTTGGCGGCATGTCCGTGTGAGGCATCAGTGCCCTCGTAACGCTATATTGGGCGGCGGTGCTCACAGAGGAGGCGCTCACCCGCTTTATGAGGCTGGTGACGGAGGCTGTCTGCCCTGCCCTCTCTCCATCCCTCTATCCCTTCCTTCCTTCCTTCCTTCCTTCCTTCCTCTCCCACGACCCTTTATTCCCTTCCTCTGATGCCTCCCACTCCCGACGTTAGATATTTCTCTCGCTCTCTCCCTCCCTCACACCTACAACCCTTTATTTCCTTTTTTTGGGGCCTTCCACTCCTCTCCCTCACCCTTCGTCTACCCCCTCCCTCCCTCTCTACACCCTACATTCATTCCCTCTCCCTATACTTCTTGCTTTTCCTTCACCCACGTTCCTTCAGTATTATTTCAACCAGTCTTCCAGATCTCTTATTTTCTATTTCCTCAACCATCGCGTCTACTTCGTCCACTCTCTCTCCTCACCCTTTCCCTCCCCTCTCTAATCCTTGGCCTGCTTTCTTCACTCCCTTTCTCCTCTCCTCGCTCAGTCTTTTTCACGTCTTCTCACTCTCCCCTCTCCCTCTCTTTTCCCCACCAGACTCAGGAGTGCTTGGTTGGTGTCCTGACTCAAGGGCTGATGGTAAGGCAGAGCTGACGTCTAGGTGTCTGGGTTATTGGTTGCCACGCCAGGAAAGTCGTCAGCCTAACAATGCCTCAGTAAGATGGTCGTAGTTAGGAGGGTCGTTCTTTTGCTCGCCAGAAAGATTGTTTGTATACGTCAGAGAGGTCGTCATTGTTTCCGTCAGGAGGGATGTTGAATCGAGTCATGGGAATCGTCAGGGTGTCTGGACCAACAGTCACATTTTGTGTTGGATTTTCATGGCCATTGTCACTCAGTTAGATTCTGAGCGTCAGGATGGAAGGGTCTAGATGAGAGTCGTGGCTTGCATCACAGTGTCTCGGTGTTGCACTAGAGGCTGTCGTCCCCCTGATGTTATATGATGTAGTCACCCAAGTCTGTGATAAACAGTTGAACAAAGTACTGTGTGATACACCTGATGGACGCCCAACAGCCTTGGCCGAGCTCCTCCTCCTCGTACCCTCCGCCATGACTGTGTTCCAGGAGTTATAAAATGTAAAGTATTTCCGTTTTGGTTTTGACCGCTTGTTATGAGAGGATTAGCCTCGCAGGCAGCTCGAGTTGCCAAATAGGTGGGGACGCAATAACTCCTTTAGGCAGGCAACTTCTGGAGGTGGTTTGATCACCCTGGTTTCCCCGGAGTGTCACACGTCTCTTCGTATACCCTCACCTCCCGGAGTGATTTAAAGAGAACCAGTTGTAGGATTAACTGTAACTACGGGTTGGTCTCAGACGTCAACAGAGTGGTATCGGCGGCCAAATTGAGCAGTTTTGCCTGTGGCGCGATTCACCTGCAGAAAAAACAGACCTGGCCAGGTTATTCGTCCACGTTGATAATAAGACACCCAGCCTGGCCTCTTGTGGGAATGTTTTCGTCTCTTATACATTGAACAGTCTGTTATGTTTCTCGTTTATCCGTAACAAATAACGTCTGCGGAATGATGTGTACTGTAATGAACCGTGATGATAAACATCTTGAGCAGAAGAAAAACGCGAACAAGATGGCCACGGCTGCGCTGCCCACGAAAGGCTTGGCTCCCGGCAACGATATTTATTTCAACTGACGTGTAGATATTTCGGCGGCGTGGCAACTATATTATCGGTGCGCAGGGCAGTTAACTGGTACTCTCCCTTCTAAAGGCAAGTGATTAATAGCCTTAATTGCGCAGGTAATCTTTTATGCCTCTCAAGCATTTGGTTAAAATTGTTGTTACCGTCGTTAAGGCTGTACAGAGGACAGCTTTTATAACGAATAACTTTCACAAGACGGAGCGAGAGTGTGCAGGTTTTTTGTATCAGGATATTTATTTACATGTATCGAAAACTGGCATGACGATATCTACCAAGTATCATTATCTTAATTGACCGGAGCCCAGAAGGAATACCGATGAGACGGGTCCACTGGTTCTACTCAGTAACAGCCATCTTTTAAGAGAAAGTTATTGTACGGCAAGTATCGTCTAACACTCGTCTCGTCTTGTAAATGTAAAGGTAAAACCACCGTGTTGGCCTTATCATTACTCAATAATGGCTCCCGTTTTCTCAGTTAAGAGTTAGTAACTGATGTCAATTTTAAATCGGTAAAATATATGTTAGATTATACAGTCATCAGCCCCGCCCGGACCTGCTCGCGCCTCGCTACCCACCCCACCAACACCACATACTAGCTGCCCACCCCACCAACACCACACACTAGCTGCCCACCCCACCAACACCACACACTAGCTGCCCACCCCACCAACACCACCACATGCTAGCTACCCACCCCACCAACACCACACACTAGCTACCCACCCCACCAACACCACACACTAGCTACCCACCCCACCAACACCGCACCACACACACTATACGTTCATCATCGGTGCTAACATTAAGGTAAGGTATTAATGATAATATAATTGCCGGGTATAACAAATCATTACCTAGAGTACGACGAATTAGTGCACGTGAGCGGCTATGTGTTGCTCAAGAAAAAGAATAAACGATATTTTCTCTATCTGGGGAAACTCAGGTATTCTTCCTCGTCAATGGCAAGATGTTGATGTATTATATAATATTTACCCCTGCGTGTTAGCTTCACCAGTAAGGGTTGATTATAGTTTGTTTTCATCTTGTTTGAACGAAGATTGTGCCTTACCATGTTATTTATCAGACTAGGTATTATATAATATAACTGGATTACTTATGAAAATTTAATTACTTTAATTAAAAACATACATCACGGTAAAATATTTATTATGACAGCGATAATTATGGTTATATAAGTAACACCGGTTCATTAAATAAAAATGATAATAATAATTGTACTTCTCGTTGTTACAGGTACCAGTTCTTCCTGCAGGTGAAGCAAGACATTCTCCAGGGACGCCTTCCTATATCCCAGGACCTGGCCGCCGAGCTGGGATCCTACGCCGTCCAGTGTAAGTACTCAACACCTGGCGATTATTTTACTGTCAATTTTGTCCTCTTGAATTTCTGTGGATTATTTTATTGTCTCTTCTACCGTCTTATTAGTTTGTTTATTTTGTTTTTATTTATTTTTAATTTATTTTTATGCCATATTGTAGCGTTTGTTATATAGTTCTTCCACGAGCAGTCTGGGGCAACACCACTCGCTAATTAGCCAGTGTACAGGCTGGCTGGTGTACTATGTTAAGAAATTCATCACAGATAATCATATTAGTCATCTATAGCTTCCTTAGCAACTTTTATATATACATTTCCGAAATATTGAAGTATTATGTATATTTCTTTACAGTTTTTATATTACTTTAACATTGATTTCTGTCATTAAGCGTTATTAAAGATGGTGACATTACTGAGTCTGTCTAAAGAACTCGTATCTAACATTAAAATTGTCTTAAACGTTTCAGGTTATTTCCCAACAGACTACAACCATTACTTTGATCATTTCTGAGCTTCTTATGGTAAAAATAAAAATAAAAATTAAAATAAAAACATTTCCTCTTATATTTCTGGAAGCAGTTTTAATTTTCACGAAGACAAGTCACGATTGAGGAGGTGTAGAAGAGACTGGGACCTTTGTGTGATATCCGGGTAGCTATTGCTTTTTATAACAGGATCCCCGGAGAGGTTGAATTGATGCTCTGACTCTTGTTGAAGTTTTTTTTTAAATATACAACAAGCAGCATCCATTATTTATTTTAGTATTAATTTTAGTTTGAATAAGTTGTGGTGGTGGTGTTGTTGTTGTTGTTTGGGGGAGTGAGGGTTAGTCTAGCTTAGGTTAGGTTAGGTTAGGTTAGTTTAGGTTAGGTTAGGTGTACTTCAAGGAGTTGTATACGTCACTCCAGAAACAAGGCAACGTTCAGGCTCGATAACCTGATATAAAAAAAAATAATAACTTCAAATCCCCCTCAGCAAGACGAGTTCTAAACGTGGGAATGGATGAGAAAGTTACTCCACGGGTGCTACTGTTCCTGTTGGTGTGGTGGTGTGGTGGTGTGGTGGTGTGGTGGTGTGGTGGTGTTAGGTTTGGTGGTGTTGGTGTTGGAGGGTAGTGTTAGGTGTGGTGGTGCTGGAGAGTGATGGTATTAGGTCTGTTGGTGGTAGTCGTGGTGGTGCTAGTGCTTTCGCTTCACTTATGTTGCTTCAGGAATTGTGTCTGCATGAAGCACACTATATATTATAGAACCTAGCTGTGGTATATTCACTTAACTTGATTTTAACTTTTAATAATAATTCCCTTTATTACATTATCTCCAGTTAGCATTCGTAGCTTATGTAGGAAAAAAGAATTAACTGTATAAATTCCTACCAAAATAAATAAATAAGAGTTAAAAATAGTTCTGGGTGTGTTCTGTGTCGACAAGTTTTGGGTGTAATAGCTTTTTCCAGGTGTGTTGTGTCATAGATTACACTTAGTGAGGCAGAGGAGCAGCAGGAGAGAGGAACCTTGTTGGATTAATGGACTTCCTGGTGAGGGTGAAGGGGTGGGGGTGGAGTGAGGCGGGGCGGGGTGAGGGTGGGGTGAGGGGAGGTTTCTTGAAGAGGCTGCGTCGATATCGTGTTCTTGTCCTCTTTACATGATGAAAAATGTTGTCTTGGAGCCGTTACGGAGAGGAGGAGTATATGAAACCTTTTTTTTTTCTTATCAATCTGAGCAAAATCTTCATGGGATATATTTACGTTTTGTATCTTCCCCCATAAGCCACAGTGATTTATTTAACGATACAAACAAGCTTAGCAGTTGGTCAGTTGAAGTACCTAAACCAGATCACTCATTTACCCTAGTCATTCTTTATTCTTTATCTCTAAGTGCTGACATTTTTATTTTCTCTCCATCTTCTTATTTTTCCTCGTGGTGTTGTGGTGAATGTGAAGGTTGTACTAACTCTCAGTGTGGTTCCTAGACGGTATAGTGGTAGGGAGGTGATCATGGGTGGCAGTTTACAGGTGAGGACAGGTGACGGTTAGGTTATATTAGGTGGTAGCTCCAGGTGAGAGGTTATGTCTATTGTCGTGAGGAACTGGAACTATGGGTAATAAACTGGTAATTAGAGTAAAGACGGCAGCTACGCCCTTGTTTTACCTGAGCTCTAGGAAATTATACCTTATATTCTGGTAATTATGTGAATATTATTTCTCAATTATAGAAGAAAATCAGAAATATCAACCTAATTAGAGTTAAAAGGAACCAAATGATACCGTACGCCCCTCTAGTATCATCACGTGTGGTCAGAGACGCCCCCTCCGGCCCCAGTGATGGTAAATGGTAATGTGTGTAGCACGTTCATTGATAACAAGTTTGGCGTACATAAAACACTGTATAGGTCCCATTCTTTGTAACCACTCATGAATATTAATATACTATGGCCGACGTGTACTAGTTGGTTGGGCAGGCTGATATGGTCAAGTGATTCAAAAAAGTTAACCGGACTATAAGTTGATCAGCCATTGGATCTCTTGAGCTGTTTTTAAGACTCAATTGAGGAGACTCGTGGTATATTAACATCATTTTCTATATTTAACAGATGATTGGTACTGTAGGAAATGATGAAAATTTAGTCAACTTGTTTATGAAGCACAGTAAACTGGTTTTGTTGTCAAGATGTCCAAAGAAGCCCGGAAGACATAATAAGGCTGTATAATATTATCACGGTAACAGAAGCCACCGTGAGAAATTAACCGAGATGCTGCCAGGGCTCCGTACCGACACTAATGCCTCCACAACCAATGCTTACACCAAAGGCGGTCGTACATTAGTGTTACTGATCAACTTATAAAAACAACTTCTCTGTGGCTTTACAAACGCAACCTCACACGGAACAATAACAAACCATTTGGTACTATATTTTGGTTCATTGATTTAGTTTTGTACCATAATGTGATCTTAATTGTTCATCCCTTTATTCTATATTTCCCTGAGGCTATAGAGAGCGATATACCTTGTAAGAACACCTGTCTGCTACACCTGTCTGCTACACCTGTCTGCTACACCTGCTTACCTGACACTATATACGTAAACATGCACTTTACAGAGGATTAATTTCAATAGTAAGACGGATTAAACTGGGGGATTCAACAGTTTTATTAATCCATCTTAAACTATGAGTAGGATTAGATTAGGTATTTGACACCTTTAATTTGTTCATAATTACTCCTACTCACCTTGACCCCAGGCTCCTTCACCTGGCTGTCTGTGTGTTAGGTTAATGGTTCTCTTCATTAGTATAAGAAGAGCTGGCAACCTTCATAACTGAGTCGAGATGTGATGATAACTAAATCTCTCTCTCTCTCTCTCTCTCTCTCTCTCTCTCTCTCTCTCTCTCTCTCTCTCTCTATTCAATCATTTTTGTGCTTCTCCTTTTCTAAATTTTCTCTTCCTTCTCCCCCCTTTTCCTGTCCTCCTCCTCTCTCTTATCCCTATCCCCCGTCTTATCTATCTACCATCCCTCCACCTCCCTCCCCCCACCTCCCTCCCTCCCTCCTCCCTCCCTCCCCTCCCTCCCACCTCCCCTCCCTCCCTCCCCCTCCCCTCCCCTCCCTCCCACCTCCCTCCCTCCCACCTCCCTCCCACCTCCCCTCCCTCTCCCTCCCACCTCCATACCCTTACCATCTTGGCTCCTCTTATAAATATTCAGATCCATAATACTGCAAGACATTTACCATCTGAGAGAGGATAGTTACCTTATTACAGTCTCCCCGGCAGGTAGGAGTGGGTAACGAAGAGGTCCTTTAATGAGCAGATTATCGCAGTTTGGTCTCATTATATGGTAATCAAAGAGTGTGGTTGGCCGGTGGGTGGTGGTGTATGGGCGTGCGGGGCAGGTTGCTACGCTTATCGGGGTGGTTAGTGGGTAAGGTGAGGTGGGGGGGGGAGGGGAGATATTTTAATACCTGCATCCTTATATAACTGTCTGGGAGTTTGAACCCGCAAGCATTTTGAGGGAGGAAGGGTCAGTGTCCGAGTGTGTACTTGACCAGCCTCATTGGGTAAAGGTTTAAGTCTCGTAGTAAAACAATACAAGAGTTTATCCTGTGGTTTTGTTTTCAGTTGGTGGTGAGTGAGGCTGCCTTGAGGACCGGTACACGTGGCTATGCATAAGGACGCTTCAGTGTGTGTTTTGTTGATGGAATTTTTATCTTTATGTCTCCTACTCTCGTGCTCTAGCCAGATGTGTGGCTGTTGGCTTTCGTTCATAGTTTAGATACACCTTAAAGTTCATTTACACTTTACAGGGACACACGTACGATAATGTGGTAACCATACTACCCTGTATTGCGTCGCTTTTGAATCAGGAATCACTTAATTAAAGCTGTTGATTGATATAAGTGTTTGTGATGCTGTGTTGCGTTTGTGGTGTTGCTATTCATTTTCCGAAGCTACCGTATATTACCTCTTGCTTCATGGTGTTGCATCGTGTGGGCGGAGGTGGTGTATGATCTTGTCTCGCCCTCAGTCTACAGGTGATGGATGTACGGGTAGACGCGCCAGGTGACACGGAATGTAGCCTAGCAACACGGTGTGCCTCTGTCTGGGTGGTCGACCGCTTAGCTTCTGGACGCTGGGTTGAAGAATTCATTCATATGTCGACGAGTGACCCTTTGGAGGCGACAACTTGAACAAAAGAAGAATTTAACACCACTGTCCTGTTATTGTCATTAAAGTGAACAGATTATAGGAAACACTTGGTATATAATCAAGTTTGAAAGGAGCTGAGAGAAATTGCTGGTTCTGTCATTCATGGAGGCTGGGCAATAAAGTGAAGTGTTTACTACGCTGAGGCTTTGTTCACCTGTAATTAACATTTATTAGCATATCTTCAAAACATCCTGGCCGGGGGGATAGAATTGATTATGCATACTCACATGAATAACAAAGTAACACAAGACCTTAAAATATTTATCTTTTGTTGGCGCCAACATGGAAGCCGCTGAGGGGCTCTAAGAATACGACAATTTTGGTGCTGTGGTACGAAATTTATGGCAACCAAGAATTTACGATGAAAGGAAGATTTTATTTATATTTTTTCTTCAGAAGCTACATTTGGAATTTCAGGTGTTGTACTTTCTGTGTATTATAAACTGGATGTAAGAATAACTCGGTGTAACCCGGGTACAGATCGTCCATCTTGAAACAAATGAACTACGATATGGCCTCCGATAATTACATTCCCTGTACATGAACACCCGCGCAAATGATCTTCACGGCATCAATGGGATTTAAGGCAGAGCTAATGATCCCGAATTTATATGTTGTTAATTATTTTTGTGGTGTAAATCATTTCACTTTGTACCTGGATAATTACGAGTGATAAAACGTGTAAGCTTTCAAGAGAACAATGGTTGACTTTGGGGTGTGAATGATGCTGCCTCCTGGCGGGGATATGGATAATGGTTTAATGTTCTGAGTAGCTTCCCAGGAGAGAATTATTACCCCGTCAGAGTTATCTATTTTCACCAACACAAAAACACAGATGAAAAATATTAAAACTAAAGTGACACGATAGAAGGGTAGCTGTGACGTTGAGCCTTGAGTACCCCCTCAAAATCTCCGTCTATTCCACATCGTAAGGGAAATTTTCGTACTAAATTATTAGTTCGCGTGAGGTAAGGATCGACTCCAGTGACGGTAGGATGTATGGCCTCAGGGACGGAACGGACCTTAGGAGGAACGTAGAGACAAGCGGCCGACCATAAGAACGGATGAACGGTGAGGAACAAAGCAGCCGAGAAAGTGATCGTTGTAAGGCTACGGCAACAGTGGTAATTACTATAGCGTCTGACAGTGGTGTTAAGGAGACGAGACAAGTAATGCTAAGAAATTTAAGGGTACGTTCCTCCCCTCTCATAGTCCTCCCGCTCTCGTCCCCCCCTTGTCCTCCCCCTTCTCGTCCCCCCTCTCCCTCCTCGCCCCCCCCCTCCTCGTCCTGCACTGGTTTGAGGAAGGAGCTCGCTAAGGCCCCAGGCAGAATCTTAACTACATGTCTTAATTCACCTGAGAACCCACACGTACACCAGAGACAATGTCCAACCTGGAGTGTGACTTAAGATGTTTCTGCCTCTACCGTAGTGACACTTGTTATAATATTTCACAAAACTCATAATTAAAATATACGAATTAAATATCTATATTCTCCCTGGCATTCCTCAACCTGCAGTCCTCTCTCCCTTTCCCTCATCTCTCCCTCTCCATTATATCTCCCTTTCCCTCATCTCTCCCTCTCCCTCATCTCTCCCTCTCCCTCATATACTCGTAAAATCAACAGTGTTTACCAAGGAGGTTCCCGGAAGGCCCTAGTGTGTGTCTATCAGATGAATTACCACAAAGAGGGAAAACTAAAAGTAGGAGGACTGGCAGCGTTTCTAGGAAGTGAGGGAGGGACGTTTTAAGACGCCTTGTGTTCTCGGCTACCCGACATGAACCGATCACCTCCGCTAATTACCCGGAATTTCCTCGGTCCGGATTGAAAAGCTAGGCTTCCCCGAGTCAACAACCTGAACCCTTGAGAGATTAGTCTGTGTACAACAATGAAGGTCCCTAACAGCGACCAGTCCTCTCACAGCTGCAAGTTATTGGGGTCCACTCGGCGACCAAAATTTGCCCAGGGAAAACATGAACGTTGACTATAGTTTATTGACGTCGTTGTTTTCAAAAGCTTGGGTGGGTCCGAATTTTTAAAGACTCGAACTTTGTTTTTCTTGTTACTGAGGATTTAAGACCGTAAAATTATGCAACTTAAATTACGACACCAAGATATTCGCCAAAATAATGTCTAAAGTGTTCTAGTTAGATTCATCAAGACACTTTGAGTTGCGCTTTCTCATCCTCACTTACTTTTTGTTTATTTTTGTTTTTGTTTTAGGTGGGGAAGATAAACGTACAAATCTTTGACAAATTTGATATTTAAACCTTAGTTACAGTACCTGGTATATACTTATGGATAGAGATTTAATATTATATTTATATTGCGTCTGTTTGTATCACCAATATAACCCTCTAGTAACACTGCTCATTGGTGCACTTAAGAGAAGAAAGTGATAATGGTGATCAGAACAAAATCACATAATTTCACTCCGGACAGAACTCACCACTTAAATCTTACCAACCTGAGTGTTATTTTTTGTTATTTTTTTAAGATCTTGTACAGTTTAGTGTTGTGGGATATTGTCATTCTTGTCTTGTGCGTTGAGAGGTTTTTTTTTTTTTTCGTCATCGTCCAAACAACTTCTTTCGGTGATATTGTCGTAAACCGGCCTCGTTCTGTGGAAATAGTCATACAACCGGCCTCGTTCTGCTTAAACTTCTCGCATCATCCGGCTTCACGAGTACCGAACCTTTTATTAGTGTTAAGTGCCAGAGTAGAGAGGTTTTAGTGCACCAGCCGAGATAACCATCACATAAACATCACACTCCTTGAACATTTTCTTCAGATATAAATAACACTAACCCTGGTGGTGCTAACAGGCCAGTGTGTGAACAATGTACCAATATGGCCTTTGACCAGTTTTTATTCTTCTCTTCCACTTCCTCCTCTTCACCCTCTTCTCCTTCCCCCTCTTCCCCCTCTTCCCCACTCTTCTTCACTCCCCACCCTCTTCCACGCTCTTCACCTCTTCCACTTTCCCCCTCCCCTCCCCACTCTCCCCCATTCTTCCCCTCCCTCCCCCCACTCTCTCCTTTCTCCCCTCCCCCTTCCCCACTCTCCCCTCTCTCCCCCTCCCCTCCCCCTCCTCCCCACTCTCCCCCCCACTCTCCCCACTCTCCCCCACTCTCCCCCCTCCCACAACAACATCTAAAAACAAACATATTCTCGTATTAATCTCCCTGTGTTGTGTTAACAGGCTTGTGGGAGTAACATTTTTATAATAACGTTTCATCATTTCTTCCTGCAGTTGGGTGTTGTTCTCAGCCTCGTATAGAACTCTCAGACTCTCTCGTGTTAATAAGCTTGTTGGAGTAATGGGTTTCGAAACGGACTGTGGACTCCTTTCCTCCTCCAATTGTACCTTAAGTATAACATGTTCCTCTTGCGTTAATCGCCCTAACTCTCTTGTGACAGGAGCTTCGTGTGAGTAACGGGATTTTAATTGTTTTTTTGTTTTTTTTTCATTTTCCCCAACTAGCTACAAGTAAATCTCTAAGACCTTTTACCACATATTAATCTCAGTTACTCTCTTGTACTAATAGGCTTGTGAGAGCAATATAATGGAAGGGTTTTGACTCCAGTTTTTATATCCTAATTGGAGTCAAAACACGCAGAGGAGGACTTGACCTGAGGACACATTGGTCAAACTTGTTTTCTTCGTCGGTAATTGTATGTTTTGGGGATTTTTTTTGGGGGGGGGGTCGTCCATGTTGCAATTCATCTCGGTATGAAGTTTTTATTTATTCTTGTGGTATTTTATGTGTCTATTTTACATTCATTAAGCCAAAGAGAAGGAAGATATAATATTAATAATGGTCAGATGCCACACTTAAGGTATTCGCATGGGTTAAGTGTTGAATATCCTGTTATGCTTCCTCTAGTAACATGTCAATATTCTTCACCTTATCATTCTTTACTAAGTCTTTAATAATTTATCATTCTTTACTTATTCTTAGTATTTTATCATTCTTTGGTAAGTAGCTGGTGAATCATAAAAATTCCCCGTGAGAAAACATTACCATTCTTCTCGATATAGATATACTCAGTCTTGTCATATTTTGTTTAATTATATTCAATCAACAACGAGATGTAATAATAATCGACGAATAACCACCACTCACCCCCTCGCGTTAACTACCTGCTCAACCAAGTCATTTCCCCTTGTCAACATGAGGCGGAGATAATGTACAGAGGTTTATTTGTCTATATTATTTGCGTGTTGATACTCATTTGCATAAACCTATTTACCTTTCTCGTTCCTGTATATTACCTGAGTCGTAGTGGTGTTATCTGAGGTCTTTTGTTAGTAGTTAAGGAGAGAGAGAGAGAGAGACTTACAGGTGTGTTGCCTTCACCTGCCAGATTACATGAATTAACTCAAACATTATTTACATTGTAGTTCCTCGTAGATTAACTGTAGTAGTATATACGTCACAGCTCATAAATTAACTGTAAATTATAACTTCGTCTTTTTATTTATTATTAATGATATACTGTATACAATAAAGTGATTTTCCTTAAGCTAACTTTAACTTTGTCGTCTCCTTCAAGGGTGATTGGGGGACTACGATAATTTTTACAATATCTTTTTTTTTTTTTACTTTTTGTAGATTGTAGGTTTTCTCGTGTCATTTTTTGTTACTTAATTTACAATATTTTATATTTTTCATTACTTAATTTACAATATAAAATTCTTTTCTTTACTTAATTTACTACATCACGTTATCTCTCTCGTTACATAACTTACGATATCTTTTTACTTTACTTAACTTACAATAACTTATCTCTTCTCTCAGTTCGATATCTCAAGTTTCTCCCTCAAGTTAACCATCACCTTGTCCCTCCCACAGCTGAGCTCGGCGACTACGACCCGAGGCGACACTCCCCAGGGTATGTGTCGGAGTTCCGTTTCGTCACCACGCAGACGGTTGCCCTCGAGAACAAGATCGCCGAACTCCACAAAAAGCTCGTGTAAGTACTCCAGTCGAGGGTGAGGTGTGGGGGAGAGGGAGTGTGTGGGGGAGAGGGAGTGTGTGGAGGAGAGGGAGTGTGTGGAGGAGAGAGTGTTCAGGGTGAGTGAGGGTGAGTGGGTGTTGAGGGTGTGTGTGTGTGTGTGTCCTGTCCAAGCTTCCCTTGTCCATGTTCAGCACAACAACACCTCCGCCTCCACACGTCTCTCCTTCCTCTCACATAACTCCTTCCTCTCTCTCACGTTGCCACACCTTCCTCATCTCCACATCTCTTCCCACACACACACACACACACACCGTCCCTCAGCCTCTCCTCCATCACCCTCCCCCTTCCATCACCCTCCCCATCACCCTCCATCACATCCCCTCCATCTCCATCACCCCCTCCCTCCATCACCCCTCCATACCCTTCCATCACCCCTCTTCATCACCATGGGTTAAGGTTAATGACCACTCGTTATTGTGTTCCAGGGGACAGGTGCCGTCCAAGGCTGAGATGTGTTACCTGGAGAAGGTCAAATGGCTCGACATGTACGGCGTCGACCTCCATCCTGTCCTGGTAAGTGATCTATCGACTTTGACTTGGTATCGATGGTGGTGTGTTTCGCTGTGTCGAGTGTTGAGTGTTTCCTTGTGTTACGTGTTTGTTACCTTGTGTTGAGTGTATAAGTGTTTCCTGTTGTCATGTGTTAAGTGTTTACTGAGGTCAACTTCTTAGGGGGGGGGGTAACTGAATTCTAGTTCTAAGTGTTTTTTTAGATTCAAGTGTTTAAGAATAAGTGTTTTCTAAGTGTCTAGTGTTTATGGATTTGTTTTATCATCAAGTAACTACGATATTGGCTAAGGAGAGACGCTGAGGGTGAAATATAGCGTAGGAGGACACTCATATGCGTATATAACTGACGTCTGTGTGTAGAGATACTCGTTTATTGGGTTGTTTTAATTTTTTTACCCAGGAAGGAGAGGGTGTAAGTCTGCCTCGAGTGGATTTCATCATTGGGATCAAGTTTGTCTGCTGCTTATCTAATCATTTCGTTATATACTGTCTCTCTCCCTCTCTCCACTGTACACACACACACACACACACACACACACACACACACACACACACTCCGGAGTAGAATGTTGAAATATCACCAAATCCGGACCTTAACACAGAGTTGAATGTTTTATCTGTCTTTACTGGAATTTCAACCTTAAGTGAACATTTTATACCACTGTGTTGCCCTTTAGGTGTGAAATCCTTGTGCACGTGTTTAATTGCGTGTAGCCTCCGTGACGACAGGTAAGGACAGGTTACCCTTCATGCCTTTTGTCTCAAGTTAAAAAAAAAAAAACAGATCTGACCTAAAATTTTGTCACACTTTATAACCGTAGCGATTTTTTCTAGACTTTCTTCTCTCACTTGCCTTAAGTGTTTTAAAGGTGAAGGTAAGGGAAAGATTTTGTTAGGGACCACTGTTAAGTCACCCTAAGTCAGTACATAGAATATATATATGAATAATCTGTTTAATAAGTAAGTAAAAGTAATAGTCACAAAGAGATGATATTTAGTTAATGAATAAATGGATAAATAATAATTCTATGCTTCCTAATATACAGTCGCTGGTAATGAACAACTAATTGATAGACTAATTATCTGTAAGAGTTAATAGGTAGTTAGTGGTAAGAAATAAATAAAGTAAACATTATATTATTGTTAATGGATAAATGAACAAATAAGAAAATAAACAAATAACTTATCTCGTGTTACATAGAGATTATATTATTATTTATAAGACGTTGGTGAGAATAATGTTAATTAACCGTAAGATGAAATAAATCCTTAAGAGGGGAGAAGGTCTGGCAGTGCAGGCAGGATAAGAGGTCAACAAGAGGTCATTTGACGTGGCAGTAAATACACCTGTAGCCAGTTTAAGGTCGAGAGAGCCAGGGAAGAACACTACAGGCATCTCACCTACCCTTACCCCCTACCCCCACCCTCTCTCCCCACCCCTACCTCTCTCCCCACCCCTACCTCTCTCCCCACCCCTACCACCCTCTTCCCTACCCCTTCTCCTTACCTCCCATCCATCATCTAAAAAAGTGTTCCTGGGAATCGTGTCTCCTGTCTCACCTGCGTCAAGGATACGACATAGAAAGAGAATTAAGTGTGTGTGTGTGTGTGTGTGTGTGTGTGTGTGTGTGTGTGTGTAACGTGATAGTGATGACTCAGAGATGCAGGTAGTGATAATGATAGTGGGGAAAGAGACAGGTAAGCGTGGCAGTAGAAGGCGCTGTAGGTGGACGTGACGTGGGTGTGGTAGATGGCACTGTGGAGATGCGTGTAGGTGTGGTAGTGGAGGTGGAGGGCGGTGCAGAGATGTGAGTAGGAGGACGTGAAGGTTTGGCAGATGGTCGTGTGGTCGTGGTTGTGGTGGTTGATGAAGGTGAGAGAGAGGAGGCGTGATTGTGGTGCAGAATTATAAGTAAGACAAGTGGTCAACCTCAACGAAGGAAGAATAAGAAAATCAGGCCAGAGATAAGTCGCGTGTGTGTGGGGGGTCAAGGACATGAGGTGTTGTGTAGCTTCTTGATGGGACAGGTGACCACGTTATCACTTCTGCGTCAGGAAGGTCACAGGTTACTTACATGTTTGGTCATCTGGGTATTAGTCACGTGTGGGTGTGGTTTTTCGTTGCCTTGGGTCATGTATGGGCAGCGGTTCAGTGATGACAACTAGTTAAGTAGGTAAGGTAGACAGTTAAGAGGCACTTTTAACTAGCAAGGCTAAAGGTTAATGTGTAGGTGAAGTCCTCGTGTCTCTAGTGAATCTGACCATTGTAAAAAGTTAATAGTATTTTACTAGCTTATATATATATTAACTGTTATGTGAAGACCAAGCGTAATGCCACAAGAAATTTTGCTTATCTTAACGATTTTTATAAAGATACAACGTGTGAGGACGGTGTTGCAGGCGACCCAGTTAATGGTTGTCTAAGCTGGCGAGATCAACGAGGATCAACAAACGACAAGTATCAATTATTTCTGGTATCTCTCCATCTCCCAACCCGTATATACACATCAGATATCTTCAAATCAAGCAGTATTTTATGAAGGCACGTTCAACAAGTGCATGCTGGATGGCAAGGCTGAACACACCCTTTACTTAGCGTCTCGAAGTGTAATCTTGAGAGATCAAGTGCCGTCAGCCCAGATAGTCCACCTTGAATCTATGAAATCTACCGGGGCGAGTTAGTACCTGGGAGTATAACCCATATCGACCAGGTGAATACGATTTATATCATGTTTGTACTCTATTGGTAAGAAAACTGTGCTAGCATGTAGACCCTTAAATGTTCTCAGGCCTTTATATTTTATAATGAAATAGTAATGACTGTAAAATTGTATATCGTTGATAAGTTTTATGTCGTCTGTAAGTGATTGGAAAAAGTCAATGTTTATAACACCAGGCGGTGTAAATCAGTGGTGCCGGGAGTCTTCCGCCCGTGTGCCAGTCATAACATGGTCAGGTAACACGTACAGGGATAATATACAACACTCAGAGTGGACTGCCTGTGTGTCCTAAGATATATATAATATTATTCAGACTTCACTGCTCTTGCAGAACTCTTCACTTTTTTGCTCTTATAAATAACGTTTGGATAATGTATAAAAATAGTTCGTTCGCTGGAGCATGAATTGTTATTCATGAATAAATTCTTCAGGTTCTTGCAGTAAGTACTCGGTACTCTATTTAATGAGTTTGGTAGAAAGCTTCATCGTACTCTTGAGTCATCTGTGAAATGTTGTATTATTTCATTTATGATTAATTTTGTTATTGGAACATGTTTAGGCAGTTTTTGTCCACGACAGCGGAATGTGTTCACTTGGCGAGTAATGAAGTGGGATAATAAAATGTTTCCGAGAGAGGCGGAGAGGTATTTTATTGGGTGAAGATGGCCGGGGCTGCCACTACTAAAACACCTCAGCTCTCTCTCACTTGGTGCAGCAGTACAGTAGATATGGCCAAGTGTTGCCCAGCGTCGAGAGAGAATAGCATAACATCCGCTAATTTATATATAAGATAATCTCAATTAGGTAGGCAGGCGCGGGTGGTCTAGGGGTTGGTGGTGCAAGTTCTCCCGTCCCTCTACCCGGGCAGGTCAGGAAACTCAACTCGTAAACAATACTATAAAGTGGTCTAATTACCCATAACCTATTTGAGAGATAAGAACCAATCCGACGCCCGCTAGTTAAACCAAGAGAATAATGTGGTTTTATCTCGTCATCAACATGAAGGGATTGTACCCAGCCACTAACACAACAGAAGAACCCAGTAACCTCCCCTCCGCCCTGAGACCAACAGACTGGACCTTCTCACCCAGTCACCCACCCGTTAGCTAAATGATAGCACCCAACCCTAACATATTAGATAAATATCCCGAATCTCTCGCCCAAGAAACTGATCTCACACCATCCCGTTAGGTAAATAGAACAAGCTAACAAGGGCCCCCCCGTTACCTCAGGAACCACAAGCTAGAGATTATACTAAAAATAAACACAAACCGAGCCCTAACACCTTAATTTTAACCTAATTATCATCCAGGAGGAACTTCTTTCATAAATCTTTCTTTTTTTATTTAGTGCAGTAACCCCATAGCACCTTCTAACATTATATACCGAAAGGGGGAAGTCTATGTTTATTCAGTCAGCTTTGAACAGGTTTTAATTCAAAGCCTAGCGAATGGGGTGACGCAGCGGATTTTTTAAAAAGATGATGCCGCACCGGTTTGAGTTTCAAGGTCGCCCCCCCTGACAGCTATTTTGGGAGCTCCAGGTGGGGGCTTATGTATAAGAGGCCTGGATGGTTATTTGGGCGTCCAGTAACGCCAGCTGAACAACAAGCCATTTGATCTCTGCACTGAAATAATTACCCACGATCTGTTAGTGTCATCAACTCAGAGGGAAAGTCTTGCTACTTAACGCATACTTGACCCTCTTATGGACATGGGGGGGTATCCTTACAAACTTTAACCTTACCACATTTATCTTTTATTATGAGTATCTAAGTATCCATTCCCATGCTTATTGTTCACTTATCACCCATAATCCCCCACTGTGAGAGGTAAAGACCCATTTTTCCCAAAGAATAGGAGGAAATATATGACAACAACATCCATGCCTCTCGCTTTGTTGATCCTCATTACTGGCAGGAGTGAGTGAGGGAGGAAGTACAGGAACCATGGAAGGAGGAGGGAGGGAGTGCAGGAACCATGGAAGGAGGAGGGAGGGAGTGCAGGAACCATGGAAGGAGGAGGGAGGGAGTGCAGGAACCATGGAAGGAGGAGGGAAGGAGTGCAGGAACCATGGAAGGAGGAGGGAAGGAGTGCAGGAACCATGGAAGGAGGAGGAGGGAGTGCAGGAACCATGGAAGGAGGAGGGAGGGAGTGCAGGAACCATGGAAGGAGGAGGGAAGGAGTGCAGGAACCATGGAAGGAGGAGGGAGGGAGTGCAGGAACCATGGAAGGAAGGAGAGAGGGAGTGCAGGAACCATGGAAGGAAGGAGAGGGAGAGTGA